AAGCTCAAATTCTGGAGCATTGGGTTTCAGTTTTGGTCAAGTTAAGACAAGAATTTCATTATTTGATTTAATTAAATCAGTTATGAATCACAATCAGTTATGAATCTAGTGCACCCTCGTACCTAGTGTCATAATCATCTCATGAACTGGGGTCAGATGTCTGGCTTCTTAAGATCATTTGAACATTAGAAGGATGAACTCTCTCAAGGTGTGCTCCAGGAAGCCTACACTTTAATTTGGGTCTGAAGTGTTCTAAAGTGTCTAACTTCAATTAAATGTCCTTGAACTAATCCTCAAACATCTTTAGATTAAGTTTAGCTCGCTATCAGGCTTCTAAACCTAGGGGTAAACCTATAAAAAAAAAGTTGTGAAGTGTGTTTCAATCCTAGTTAGAGCAATTGGGTTTAAGTTGATTCAAAGCTTAAGGAACTTAAATGCAAGTCTACTGATCTTTCAATCTATGTCCCTGATCGTTATCTAAACTTTCACTATTTTCCAACCCTCAACTATTCTTCCAATTTACAATTTCATCTTTCATATGCAAAAGGAATGGTAGATGGTTCGCTATTCTCTCCCTTCTTTAGGTTTCATCATCTCGAGAATTCAAATTCTATTTTTAATTTTCTCTCATTTTCTCTTTCTCTCATATTTCCCTTAAGACTATGAATCATTTCTGAATATAATTAAATCGAAAATTTTCATTTTTAACTTGACCGTTAAAAAAAAATAAAATAAACGAAAAGGAGACAATTCATTTTCAAAATAAAGTCAAACCAGTAAAGCTTAAAACGAAATCATGAATGTATCGGTCTAAAGACGTTTAAATTCATAAAAAAGTAAAAAAAAGAATGTGATCTCAAAAAATCAACAATTAAAATGTTCAAATCGATATATGAAAGTCTCAGCATGTAAATCAAATTTTAATGAATAAAGCTTCAAAAATGCAATTTGAACTTCATTAAATAAAGCCTCAAGGTCCTAGAATCAATCTTAGAAAGATATCATTTTCTCACTTTTCATAAATGAATCAACGCGTGACAATTTTATGAATTTCCAAACCATTTTATGAATTCAATTTATATCAAATTTATAATTTCTTGAAACAAAATTTCAAGAACTTGTCATATATCACAAAGCAAAAGAGAATAATCCATACGGAATGAATTTCCAAATTTTCAAAAGATATACCAATACCAATTTCATTCAACTCTATTTTTAAGCAAAAGCTCATTTCTTTTCATCATTTTTTTTTTAAACATGAACTTATCCATATAAGTGTCCAAAGTAATAGAGAGAAACAATCACTAGCTCAATCCATTCCACCAAAAAATCACAAGTAAAAGTTTACGGGTAAGGCAATAAGAGATGGGAGAGCTCATGGGTAAGGCCCATAAAAGTGATAGAACCACCACAAAACAGCCACCAAACAGCTCACGGCCAAGCATGGCAAAGGGAGCAAAACAGCCCAAAAACCAGCCCTCAAACAACTTAGAGCAACTCACGGGTAGGGACAAAGAAGAAGGCCACAAAGGCAACCAACGCCAAGTAAAACCCAAGGCCAAAGATAACAGCCATCCCTACCAAATCAGCCTAAAAGCAAAAGAGGAGAACCCCAAACCGAGCCTAGCAAAAGGGGCAACCCGAACCCAGCAGAAAGGGCTTCAAATCCAACTCGCGGCCAAGGACAAACCCAAGGACAATTTTAAAGTAGTGAACACCAAATGAGGCTCACGGCTAAGCAGCAAACCAAAGCCCAAGAGAAGATCCAAAACAGTAAGAAATTTCAGCCAAAATAAATCACCAAAACAGAGCCCAAACCGATCCTAAGAGAGGGGAAAGCCGAGCCAAACACAGGGGCAAACCGAACCCAATGCATGGGGCAAAACAGAAAGCATGTTTCCACAATCTCAAAGAAAAGTCAAAACCGAGACCACCAAATGGGCCAAAGGAGAGCATATCTTTATGGCATTTATTAAAGCCAAAATAAATCACCAAAACAGAGCCCAAACCGATCCTAAGAGAGGGGAAAGCCGAGCCAAACACAGGGGCAAACCGAACCCAATGCATGGGGCAAAACAGAAAGCATGTTTCCACAATCTCAAAGAAAAGTCAAAACCGAGACCACCAAATGGGCCAAAGGAGAGCATATCTTTATGGCATTTATTAAAAACATGAATATCAACAATAGAAACTTTGATAATTTCGTTCCAATCATGCATTCGAACAAAAGGTAGCAAGAAAAATAAGATATGAACCCCAAACACATATTTTTAGCTCATAAACATAATTTCCAGCATGTATTTTATCAAGGGGCAGCAAGAGAAGCAATAAATGAGCTCCAAATACATTTTTCCAGCTCATAAACATAATTTCCTGCATGTATTTTAACAAGGGGCAGCAATAGAAGCAAGAATGAGCCCCCAAATACATTTTTCATCTCATACAAATAATTTCCAGCAAGTACTTTGATGAGGGGCAGCAAGAGGAATGAAACATGAGCCCCAAATGCATCTTTTCCAATTCACAAAATAATTTTAAACATGCATTTCATACTTCCAAACATTTCAAGCAACGAAGGTAATATAAGCAGTCCCCAAATATGTTTTTCCATATGTATTTCTAAAAGAGTAAAATGCATTCCAAGGCAACCCTAGTCATGCTTTCAAGCATCTCAAGTAAAGAGAGTAAAGATAGCCCACACATGTTTTCCATAGTCATTTATAAGGGAATAAAAATGCATTTCTAGACTACTCTTCCAATGCTTTCATTTATCATGCATACCATATGTCTTAAGCATAAAAGAAGAGAAAGCAACCATGGTATGCTATATTCTGGTGTTCAAGAGGACTATTTCATGCATAAATCATAGAACATACACAAATCATGTTTCTTCAAGCTTTAAAAAAAGGATTGGAAATATTTTTATGCAATCCGAAATAGTGTAGAATAGAGGAGAGGAGAAGAATACCTCTTTAGTGCAGATTTAAAGCAAAGCACTAAAAATAAATTGAAGAAAACACCCCACAGAAATCCTTCCTGAGAGCCTCACGCCAGTAGCCCCAACGGTTTCTAGCTCCAGCCGTAAGGGTGTCGAACAACAGAAGGCCGCAAGGGTATCGAACAATAAGGAGGAAGAAAGACTCCTCTCAAACAACAAAGAAGAAGGAGATTGTCTTTCCAACAGTGAAGTAGAGAGAAGGAAAACCCCAAATTCCTCCTAAAAGCCTAACTTTCTCAAAGCCCTCTCCTTTTCTCTTTCAGACTTTTCCCAAAAGAAAACAAAATTTCAGAAATATTTCAAGCATACACACAAGGTGAACCAACCAAAAAAATGGCAGCACCTCCCCCTCTCAAGAAAAATTATGCCAACTTGTTTACAGAGAACTAAAGGGGCTATTTTATAAGCAAAGAAGATAAGGGAATAGTCACCTACCAGCCTCCCTTGTCAGCAAATCAGGTAAAGGGAGAGGATGAGAAGGATTTAAGGCAAGAGGAAATGCAGCCTAGGGAAGAGGAAGAGCCGGCTAGGTGGAACTTCGCAGTTGGAGGGCTGCTCAGTCGAGCAGAGCTCGAGGAGACGAGCCGCGTGCGCGAATGGCAGTGGAATGCCGCGTGTGAGGGAAGAAGGCGAGCCATCTCATGCGCGAATGGCAGAGGAGACGCGGGACTCGGGCCTATTCGCGAACGACAGAGGAGACGCGGGAGCTAGGGCACGAGCGGCGAGTCAGGCTTCGATCGAGCCGCGATGGATAAATGGGTAATTGAACGTATGAGTATACGGTTTAGGGCTTATAATTGAGATTATAAATAAAAATATAAGCATGAAAATATTAATTATTTCAAAAATAAAATTTGATTTGTGCATTTTTATTAGTGTGTCACATCATCACAAAATGGATGTCAATTTTGGGTAATTCTGACGTTTCGAACGCGTTGGCGCAGTCCGTTTTGCCACCGAAAATCAGTTTGACGAATTCATCGATTTGCGTAATAATTTTCTCGTGTCAAAAATATGACAATATGGGTGTCTTTTCCTACCAAAATCGGTGTCTCAGACGCGTTGGCGCAATCCAATTTGTCGTCGAAAGTCATCCGGAGAAGTTCGCATATTCACCCGTCCTTTTAGGTTCAACTGAAGACCGTCCTCGTGCAATTTTGTGAATATTGTGCATTTTGTGTGTGTATGTGACGAAAAAGTCGTGAAAATGTTTTCCTAAGGCTTGAAATCCTATTGGGAATTTCTCCATGAGTCTTCACATAATAGCCCTCAACCGCTCGTACATAAGACGATGGTCCTGAGCCATAAATGCTAGACATCACAGGAGAAAAGGAAGTGTTTGGAATTTCTAAAATGGGTGGGTACCAATTCTAGTTTTCTAAGATAGTCAATAGGAACTCCTAGAGCTAGATCCTAAGCTCTAAAAAGAAATGACCTAAAAAATGAGATCAATACAACCATTTTCTTATTATTTATGTAACAAGTTGGGGCTAATAGATATATATTCTTTAGCTTGAAGTGGAGTGTTGGTGCATGATACATTGGAAAGTTCGTTCTAATAAATACTTGATTCAGAAGATGTAGTTATACCCTCATAATTATGGATATTCTTCTCTTTATTAGCATCCTTTTTTTAAATTGTATATGCCTATAAATAGGCTCCTACATTCAGTCAATAATACAGCAAGAGATTTTCTCCTAACAGTTAAAACAATAGTATTGTCATGAGAAAATTTAAATCTTAAGAAAACAATACATGGAGTAAAGTTCCATGACATGATCAACATAATCACAAGAATCTGCGGAGAAAGTGAACACTAAACTCTAACAGCACAAGCATCAAGTATGGTCAACAGTCAATGGAGGTGCAAAACTCTCAGCCCAACTAAATTTATTGACAAAATAGGGGCAAAAATGCTGCCGACTGAAATACAGAAAAAAAATTTCAATCCAAAATTCGAAGAATATAAAGCAAATGAAGAAGCGACGGAAGCTTTCTTACAATGGCATCCTCAAGAGTTACGAAAGGATATGCCAATTCAGCTGAACCTGGCACAACATCTAGTTTGGCTGCTGCTCCTAAAGCCAGCACCAACCTGGCTGACCATTTGAAACGCATACAGCTTTAGTTAGTGATGGTAGAAGACAATTGAATATGGATCATAGTAGCAATTGTTTTCCTAAAGTTTAATTGAGTGCAATAACGAAACAACATGATGTATGATAGAACATAGTCAAATAAAAAGAACGATATTAGCAGAAATAAAACTTCAGTTAATAACTTCTGCACTCTGCCGTGCATCGTCTGTGGAAGATTATCTTCTTCAGAAACATTTGAAATATATTTAAGTACATTAAACAATATAATTAAGTTATATTCACATGACCGTAAACTGGAAAATATTAAGTGGAAGAAGAATAACTATTCAAATATAAAATTTGTCAAATAAATAGAGCCAGACTACCGATGGTTCCAACAAACACATTGGAAAGTATATTGGAATGTACAAGGTACAAGCACATTGGAAAGTAAAAGTAGAACCTCCCTCAAAAAATCTGTTTGGACCGTTTTTATGTAAGAACATAAAGCCATGCTAACACCGTTTTTACACTTGCCAAACCATTCGCCAAGCCACAATCACAATAACCAAGATAAAAACATGAAAATGAAAGCAAGAACCGACGTTGGAGCATTGGACACAGAATGTGGGACGTGATAGCTTCTGCCGCATCAAAAAATGGATGCACGCATGCAGGGTCTTCGCGATTCCAACGCTTGGACCGACCTATCCAGGCAAGAGGGGGAGCTGACCGGCTCTCTCCTTTGGAACAGACACCTCTTTTATGTAATAGACCCCATCCTCATTATCTAAGACTTATATATTTGATTCCTATGTTTAGTTTTTCAGTTTTGCTTATGTATCTATCAGGACAATCGTTGGCCTCTGGTGTTCCCCTTCTATGACTGTATCCAAAGGACAGAAGGTTCATCAGTTGTAACTCACCGAAGGTGGTGACCGTCACACAAAGATTGAATGGTGCTCCGACTGTAGTTTGATCCCATGGAAATATTTATCCTCCATTTCTAGGGGTGGAGGGCCCAAGGGGGAAATTCCCCCCCCCCCCCCCCCCCAACCTTCAAATTTAGATCTTTACTTATATGGGAAGGCAATTTGACTTTTCGATCCTACTAAAATATTTATTTTGCCAATCCTGATATACCATTTTGCTTTTCGTTGCCATAGTCCCTCCCACATTGAGTCTAGAGAGACAGTTTGCCCCACTCAAAAAAAAGAAGGGTTCCACTCCTGTTGATTTCTCATCCTCTGTAACCCTCCCTTCTCTGTTGTTGCCACCTTTCCTCAATATCGAAACAACCGCACAACACTCTTGCATTCCTG